TGTGCCACATAAATCTTGTACCACAAAGGGCGATGGTGATGCCTCAAACTACTTGTCATCTACATGAACCCACACCCCAGCAAAACAGTACATTTTTTTAAACAAAGTAATTCCACTCATGTTTTGGTCTCTCAGCTAAGGATACTAATGTATCTATTTTTTATCCTCCTTCTAGAAGTTGACTTGAAATATATTTACCCAACACAAAGCATGGCAGATACAAACAAGTGATCTTTGGGACAATAGTTTCTCAATCTGCCCTTGAATCTACCGTATGTTCAGTACTTCCTATTTTCTTTGCATTTTGGTTGCCTAATGTGGACTAGCCCCTGAGAATATCTGCAAGTGTTGGTAGGTCTAGTTACAGAAACGAGGCTGGGCATCAAATACATGTGTAAGTGTAGCACCAGATTTTTGTTTTTGGTAGCTATATTTCTTTCATAAGTATGCTTATGTATGAGCTAAGCTCATAGGAATCCTCTACACATACAAATGGAAAATCTGGATTTGGAATGTAACAGCTGCTGAGTAGCATGAGTAGGTCAGGAAAGCATCATTTTAAACTAATGGTGGATTTAAGTATTAAAGTGCATTTTCTTCAGGATTACAGTTTTAGTAATATTTATTTGTAACCAGGAATTCCCTTTTTGTTTCATATAAATGTTCAATCTTTTAAGCTTTTCTATGTGGTTAAAGGTTAATATATTCTTATGGCAGCAACTTCCATATGTACTGCTGCACTTTGTTTACCTGTGTTTTGATTTGGGGAATGCAGAAGCTCTCAGTCTGCCCAAATGTTCTGATTTTTTTATAGGCGATACTAATGAGGCTACGGTATTTTTTCCTCTCTCTCTCTCCCTCCTGGAGGCTTTTCGTGATTCAAATTGCTTTTTGCCACCCTTTGCACTTCCCACTCTTGTCCTTGCACTTTCTAGAGGGGGATGATTGGTATACAAATTGAATTTATCTTTAGGTGGTAGGAGTGCTGGAAATAATAGGACAACTCCTCTGTTTGTATGAATTCTAATACTACATTTTAGTTACAACTTCTTAAGACACCCAGATCCCCTTCCTAATCTAGTAGAACAATATATTTAGAGCTCTGTAGGGTAGAGGATTCAAATCTTCTCTCTAAATTATATTACTATAAAATCTGACATGAAATCGATCTACTGCTGCAATACTTCCTTGTGTCTTAGGTCTGCATGGCCAAGGTAGCTTTTAGGAAGTGCTGCTGCTGGTAGCAAAATCCAATTGTCATGGATTAATGTGTTGCACGGTGTTCAAGTCTGCCTAAGAGCCAAACTAGCCCAGGATGCAGTGAAATGATCCACTGGTTTTACTGGTAGAGCGACTTCAAACTCTTCTCTAACCTGTGATTCATTTGCTGTCAGTCCCTGAACAGCTGTTTGAGACTCTGCTGTACACAACATCAGTGAAACATTGAGAGGTGTAGAACTGGGGACACCACAAACCTGCTTTGTTGGTAAAACCAGAGTATTTTGTAATAGCACTCATTTTATCTAGAAGAGGATTGGGACATTGAAGAGACCCTGCCTTCGCCACCTTTAGAGAAAAGGAGTGTCTGTCACATAATTGATTGTCACAAACATATTACATTGTTTCTTCTCTTGTTGAATAGATATATTTCCAAGATTTTCCACCTGAACTTTAAACAGTAATTAAGTATTTGGCCAGGACAAAAATATTGCCATATAATTAATTTTTCTTTTGCTGTTCATGGATGCATTTCAACTTGCTGGTCTGCATTTTTTGTTTTGAACCATGAAACATCAGCATCCATCCAGACAGTGCCTGTGCAGAGTGGGAAGATGTATTGATTTGGCTGTACTTGAAAATAAATATTAAATCTGTTATGGAAGACAGAGTGGTTTTCCAATGGTGACTGTGTAGAAGACTCCTGGAGAAACCATCACAACTCCAACCCTATACAGGACAGATCTCTAAGGGGCTTCATTCTAAAATCAATTTTGCAGTTCTGCTTGCATCTGGGGGACAGAGGAAAACACTGTGATTCTGAAGGGTGCATTTTTTTTTTAGAAAAGTTTAATTTTAACATGTTGGCTAAATAGCACTGAAACAAAATATATTTCCAGCTCCTGTATTTTGTTCAATTGTAGTGTTTGCATAGCATGAACTATGTTAGTATTGTTGCTGAGCACTTTGAGATACTAATGAATTCTGGCTTGAGAAATGTGTCAGAGTCAGGAAGAGTCCCTGCAGTGATACCCATCAGTGATGACAAGTATTTCTCACTTAGAAATACTTATCAGTGTAGAACATCAATACTTCTCGTATTTTTAATTAAACTTCAAAAGCTTCTGTCATATTGCACATATAAAGAACATGGTCTGAAAGAGAAATGAGAAAATGGAGATTGAAACTGACCAATGATCCTAAGGAGAACTCATTACTGGAACCGAAACAATAGTTTAAGGAAAACTCCTTCAAATACTTAACCAGGGAAGCATTTTCCCTGGGGTTTGAAAATCCTTCTACTACATGCTTAGGAAAATTACATGGAAATGCTTTCCTTGCTGGGAACTCCATTTATATTCATACAGCAAGTCTAAGGGGAAATTTAGAGAAAAGTTCTTCTCAGAAACAGCACACTAGGAAAGTGATTATTCTGTTGGTAGAAAGGAGAGGCAGTGAGAGAATGGATGCAGGGGGATTTTTGCTGCCTTGTCAAACCAGAATGTCTTCTGCAAACAAAGGAGATCCTTCAATCAACTGGCTTTACCAAAGAGCTTGGAACACTTCACTTTTTTTTTTATTAGCTGTCATTCTTCGACATGATGAATACTTACAGCAGTATGTTAAAAAAGATACAGTTAAATCTCTTGGCATCACTGCATAGCAGTCACAGCATTTTCACACAATCTAGTGCTTCCTTTCAGAATGATGCATATGGCATATATACGCACATATGGGGGCTGATTCTTGGTCCCAGTGAAGTTGGGGGGACCAGTGTTTGGCCCATAGAGTTGTATAAGATATGTGACTATGTATATATAAAATGCTTTACAATAAACATGACATATACAATCTTGAATTCAAAGATAAGCAGAATATATTTTACATCCATGTCAAGCTTATGGTCTGCACTTAAAAGTTTATGTACCTAAAATATTGGATGGATTATAGAAACAAAGAGCAACAGTTTGCACCAATCAAAGTAATTTGAATACATATTCATGGCATGAAGCTTGCCTTGTGTTTTTGTTTTGTGTTTTGGGATGGCTTTTTTTTTTGCATTTGCAGGGTTTTAATTCGAATTTAATTATCAATTTTTGTGGGCCATGGCAATCATGGGGACGTGAGGACAGGAATGGGCATACTTTATGGACAACTCAAGATTAGTGACTTAAAATATAAGGCAATAAGTTATGGCTGGTACCCTGTCTGGTACCTGAAAATAAAATTGTGACTACTTGAGTTTTTTCCTTCCTGAGGAGAATTCTTTTGGAAGGGCAAAGTGTGCCTTCTGTATCTAATTTGATGGAAACTTTAAGAGAAATTGAAACCCCAGATTGCAAAAGCTGGTGAGATCACTATGCAGTGTAACAGCAGCCTTATCTCATTTACAGCTTTCTCATTAATCGTTGGGGAGGTTTTGGTTTTCTTCATGAAAACCAAGCTTTTACAAAACTAATTAACCTGTGTTGTAGATTAGGTTGGACACAACTGCAGATCATGTGGTTTTTTTTTTCTTTTTCCTCCATAGACTCTACTTAATCTCAGCTGCTCCTTTGTTCCTTGTATTCCAAAGGTACATGGTGTCAATAGTCCTTTTATTCCCCATTTGACTGGTGGCTGAACCATTGACACTTTACAAACACAAAAGTAGGTAAAATCTTTACTTAATGACAATGCATATGTATGGATTATTTTAACCAGCCTAAGATTTTCACTTATTATCACTTATTGTTAGTTGTACAAATTTTTTTTGCCTCTTAGATGGTATGAAATCTTCATTTAGAGGAGCTAAATTCAAATTCAAATCTTATTTGTGTGGCATAAAAACATTTTAACATCCTGCTTTTAACAGTTTTTTTCTTTTTTCTAGATATGAAAACCATAACTCAGTTTAAAAACTTCAAAATCTTTCAGCTGCACTGGCCCAGTGGGAAGGAAAAATAATTTACAAGGGCCTTCTGTAAAGTGGCTGATAGGGCTGACACCACCAAAATCTGTGTTATCTGCATAGCTTTTCTATTCTGTGCATCAGCAGCCTGTTGGCACACTGGGGAGAAACCCCAGTGCAGAAATGCCCTCCAAACCGGAGAATACCACACATGTGTCACAACTGCGTGTGCTAAGCACTGGTGCTGTGGGATTGGCTGTACCAGTTAGGGTTTCTAGGGAAATCAGATGGCTGCATTTTGCATTACAGACCCCAGGGAATCTGGCTGCCAGGCATCTGCTTTCTCAGCACTTCTGTCTGGAGCACCTGAGGCAAACTGGCCCAGGCCCAAACCTGTGCAATGGGTTTGGCTCACAAGTACAGAAGCATTGCTGGGGCCACCCTGAACCTCTTTCAAGCACTGTTTCATTACACAAGGTGACTGAAATCTAGCAGGTATGCTCAGTGCACCAAAATCCCCCGTAATAATTTTGACCCCTACTAGTTTGTAAGGGCCTGATAATTTTCAGAAGAACTTTTTAAAGTTGGAAAGTTTTAATATGGTAAGAGCAAACTTGTAATGGAACCTGTAGGTTCCACTTGTAGAAAAGGGCTTGGGTTTAATGTGACTGTAACAAAATTTCTTTTGTACCTAAGCTTTCTGGTTGGACCTATTTTCTGGAAGCTCTTCAGAAATAGCTCGACAATGTTTCTGTCAAGAGCTTTTTATGCTGCTAGATGCTGAGTTTAACTAAATTTCAGAACATTTTAAAAAAATTCTTTGAGCTAGACGGCAAAGGGCTTCCATTTCTTAGTAAAAAGACAAAACACGGGAAATTACATTCTTTTACATTGCTCACGTAATGTCCTAATAATTGTCCTACATCTGTCAGAAGGAAAGGTACACCTAAAAAGCTGCAAAGTGGTGGTGCTTCCACCCCCACCACCCTCATGTGCTTAAGAAGACATTTATGTTCTGTAGTTAGAAACAATTTAATTCTACTACAACTCTCTTGAGTGCCCTTTGCTTGCTGCGGTCCTTCTATTATGTGAATCTCATTTAGATTAGTGGGAGGAAGAAGGAGGTTTTCTATTGGTTGTACCTTACATAACAGTGGAGGGGCAGAAAAAACATGGCTGGAATGCTTTGTGTGCTCACCACGTTTTGCCCCTTTTTACTTCACTGGCTTTCAGCCTCTTTTCTCTGAAGATGCATACAAAGAATTAGTGCAGTAAATCATCCTTCACTAAAACTCATGCTTTTTATTTTCCTCTCAACACATTAGTCGCCTTATGAGCATGAACCTTATCTCGTCAAGTCAATATCCCTTGTAATTCAGTAAAATGTATTAGATTTTCCCTTGCACTTCTGTGAATATATCTCTTTCTCATGTTTCTCAAACACCAACTTGAAAAGCTCTTTCTTTGTTGGCCTCTTCAATGTCTTCACATCTCAACATGACTACCCAAATGCGACTACCTGGCCATACCTGCTCGTTCTTTTGGAAAGCAGGTGTACAGATTTGATGTATGGGGGGTTCACAACAACCCTGCACTTCACCTGAATGCAGTTATTTTTTCTTGGGGCAGAAGAGCAGGGGACAATCCCTTTGGTGCAACACAGTAGGGTCTGAGAATACAATCTCACTGAAATGGTAGAAACATAAGTAAAGTTTAATAAAGACTTTCAGAACTGAGGGTTGTTTATGGCAGAGTTAAGGCCAAGTATCTTTCACAAAGATGAGATAATAGAAAATTCTTCAGCCACTATGATAGCTAAGAGGATTTTTAGTAGTCTGACTACAACACTTTTTTTTCCTTCATTGACTGACACTAATCTAAAAGTCAGTTGAAGTATTCTTTTAATTAAAAGAAAAATGTAAATGCATTTTGATGCTGACCATCTAAGGGAGGGCATGTGGGGAAAAAATCAGCTACACTGCAACATCTCTCAAGAAAACAACTGAACTCCAGAACTAATGCCGTGCTTTGTAGATGACTAAGCTATTTAGTAAAAATTCACACGTTTGAATAAATGGTAATCATGCTGAACTGTCAAATCATGTGGTGTTGCTGTGGGGCTTGGGGGTTTTTCTGAACTTAAAACCTCAGGCGCTGTGAAACATTTGCCTAGACCAAATGTGCAAGGTGCCATGGATTAACAACACGGACCCATATGGAATGTGTTTGAAGTTTTCAAGAAGTTATCCTGCCAGACTTCATTCCTTAATGACCTTTGATACACCTTGGATAGTGGAAAGGCAGTTCAGAATCATATCTTGTAATTGTATGATTTTGGCAGCTATCAGAAGATGAAGGATGCTAGAAGTTAAGGCTTTTATCCACAAACAATGGTGTATATTAATAAACTCTATACCATATTTACAAATGCTTTCTCTTGTATTAAAACTAACAGTATTCTGTTCACAGTGCCAATGTTTTTACAGGTAGCAATCATCCCACAGTACTCCAGTATTTTGGCATGGGAATCAGTAGCGCTTTCTATTTACAGAAAATGTACACATATGAATATAAACAGGTAACTTGAAACAGTACTCAAAAGATAGATCTGTTTGTGTTTCAAAGGTTTAGACTGTACTACACCTTCCCTTTCGGCTGTGAGGGAATACTGTTCCTTGCAATGAGAAGATGCCCGTCTTTTATCCAAAGTGGCATAAAAATGATTACCAAAACAAGCCTTGTTACACTGAAGGTGTGTATACAGAGAGTAACTTCTGTCCAAGGTTTAGAGATCTGGAGTTTAGTGCACAGAATACAAAAGTTAAAAAGGTTTTTAACCACTAAAACAACCTGACTCTCTGCCCCCTGTGAGCACTGTCCTGCTCGGTCCATGTCCTCTGGATGCTGGAGATGCTGGTGGTTTCATGTGCAGCCCAGCTGCCAGCCTAGAATGGGTGTGGCGCTCTGGGCCTATATACATATGTCACAAAATGACTTGTGGTAAATGAGAAAATCACCAAGAGTGCCTCTCTGTGCCCCCTGTCCTCTCAGCAATCCTCCCTGCTTCATGGCAGCTGGAACTGGCCTGGCTTCCCGGCTGCTGGCTGGCACTCCGCGTTGGGGCAGATCGGGATCAGGAGTGACTAATGGCATCAGGCATGCGCAGAATGGAGAGAGGGGAGAGGAACGTGAAGATCAGAAAGAAACCCAGCAGAACCATGGGCGTGTTCATGAGGACCCTTAGAGCTTTGCCATTTCTTGCCTTTGCACGGTGTTGACAACAGGCTCCAGCTCCTCGGGACCGTTTTTGCTGCTGTGACCAAGACGGAGATAGCAGTGCTAGAAGGAAAAGTGCAAAGCTGCCACTAAGGAGTCTCTTCTTCATTTAAAGTCTGTTCCTGGCTGCCAGTCACTTGGCCTGAGTGGTCGTTGCTCCTACTACTGCTGTGTTGCTTGTGGAGCAAACTTCTCCACTTGGCCTTGTTCCTCCTGAGATGGTTTAGCATGTTTTCAGATAGGGGAGTGTTGCCTGTAAACTGGGCCCACCTCTCAAAGAGTGGCTCAACGATGTATGTCATGAATCCTGGAGAAATACACAAGGGACAGCTGGTGAGCAACAAGTTCACTCCACAAGTGCATTCCCCCACCGAGTGCCTCAAAAGCACAGAGCAAGGTAAGTGGCAAAAGCCCTGATGAGAAATAACAACAAACTCTCAGACATCAATTCCTTTTGAAATGCACAGCTTTTGACCAGCATACATGATAAGATATGGCTTTATCTGTGTGTGTCACAGTAAACTCTGTGACAGCCAGCAACCCTTTGAGGAGATATCAGACAAGAAAGTAACAAGTGTTTAACACTGGCTGCAATCTTTTCCCATGGGTATTTTCCCCCTATGCAAGGACTCCTTTGTCTTTCTGTTGAACATTTGGCTTAGATAGATTTCTTTTTGAACATTTTAATTTAGAACACATTTTTAACTCTTACGGTATCCGCAGCTCTTATTGTTAAAACAACTGGATCAGAGTGGGGCATGTGGTGAATAAAAGTTTCTCTTAGAGCTTCTGTCATAGTAAGATAAACATGAAGGGAATGAAACTAATACTTACCAATCTGAATGCTTGGTACTGTATCCTTTTGCTGATTACAAAGGGGGCTTATTTCCAGTTCAAATTTTTGTTCCAGATCACCTGCAAAAAAAAAAAGGGAAAAAATATCTTTTTCTGACACTTTTACATAGGTTTCTCTTCTCCATACCTATGCCACACTCTTACAGTGTCTGCAACTGTGTGAGGAGTTGGAATCTTCTACCAACAATGCTCATGGTAAATGTCTAAATACCTTCATTTTCTGGACTTTTTCTTTTTAGGTATCAGAGAAACCAATTATCCATACAAAGAAAAATCTAAGAAAAGATGACTTTTAGATGAACATTAAATCTGAGCATGTAAGTGTTCTGAGTACCTTAATTTTTAAGACAGACTCTCTTATGTGAAAGGTTTTGAAGACATTCTAGTTCATTTACTACTTGTTCAGATCACTTCCTACCAGAAAACTGCAGTGTATCAATTTTAGATTTACAGTAGTACTGTGTGGAATTTGCTAGTGTGTTCTTGTGGAAGTGGCTCGTAAAGGGAAGAGTGTTGGAGCCTGGAATGCCACAGCTGTGGCTGCACTAACAAACTGGTAAGGGCCAAAGCAGGGACTCCAGTAATGTTTCAAGAGTCAAGAGCTATGGAGCTCAAGTTATAAACATGGAAAAAGGATGAAATTAAAAGTCTGTCTTATTATTGTGCAGTAGCTGGGTATCAAGCTATGCCTTTGCTGCTGCACTGAGCATATTTATTTCCTGGGTCATCCAGGAAGTCCCCAGAGAGGCATCTGCAGAGGAGTGATTTGAGACAGAAAAGTAGTTGGCTGAACTCCTAGCCACCTTCATAGCTGAGTATTTTACTAACTGAACCAGGAGGTCTCCAGTTCCAAATCTGGGACTGCCCTGAAGATTCCTGCAGGCAGCTCTTGCTGTGACCAGCCCTGGGGACTGTTTTGAATTGTTGGAAGAAAAACCTGCCTGGGATATCTGCTCGCTCCAGATGCCACCTCAGACTGGCCCTGATGCAGAACTGACCAGGTTTGATATTGAGAAGACACTTATAAACAGTCAGTAGAAATTATTCCTGCAGAAATGGTCACACAGGACAGACTTCTGTACATGGTAATGACAGGAGATGTTTTTTATGGAGTGGAATGTAATCAATAGCAACGACCATGCTGGATTTAAGAATTCAGCAGAAAAACATCTCGGAGGATGTAATTTGCTCGCTGCCATGCCAAGACAACAGTCACTTTTTCTGCTGAAGGGACTGCATTCCCCATGCCTGCAATTACCTCATGCAAAGACTGCTCTAAGTTTTGGGTGTAGGGGTTTCCTTAAAACAAACACTCTCTGTGAGTGCAACACATTCATCCTTTGTGATTGTTAGCCTTCCTTGCCAGTGTACAATCCTGATTACTGCAAGAGGTACAGGACCTTTCCTGTCTACAGTAAGGAAGGGACGTGAGAGTTAACTGAGTGCAAGCTAAGATGTGCCACTTCCCCTCACATAATAATATTTTGTCCATCTGATTTACTAATAAGGATGTAGTGAGGGCTGGTTAGGAAAATCCTGTAAGAAAGACAGACCTGCTAGTTTAGACAAAACACTGTATTCAGCCCATAAAGAAATATTTTCCTTTAAATCCACTGTTTTTATTTAAAAGCTCTTTTCTCCCCATGAACAGTTTTTGCTATTGTACTACTTAGGTTCTACAGCCCCATATAAAACACTGTGTACATTTCTAAGCCTTGCCTTTCTTCCCTCTGCAGCATGGAATCACTTCTTAAATGTGAACAGAATATTTTCAGTTGTAATTGAGTGCTTAAAAAGCATCACGAAAACATTTTTAGCTGCATGAACAATCAAAAGGAACAATTTAGCAAAACTCAGACACAATAACAGTTTCTTATGTTTCCAAATGTGCAATTTGTCTTCTTCTCATCTACCTCTCCAAAAATGTTTGACTAAAAGAAAGTCTCTAATTCCAGTGATATCCCCTCTGTAGGTGTTCTGGGTAGAAAATGACTGACTCAAAGTATATCCATATCTGTCTGGCTCAAAGTATATCCACATCTTCTTGTCTTTCAGAAATCACTTAATTGACAAAAATTAGATTTGCTTTTGCATGGTAAGAGCACTGGAAGATCAAGATCTGAGTCTCTATTAAAATGGCCTTAGAAATGTTCTATTAAAAAAATGTTAAAACTTTGATCCAGGAGGAAGATTAAACAAAGCACTAATTGTGGTATTATCTGTCTCATCTATAGTTAAAAATCAAAACATGAGACCTTATGGTTTCCAAATATTAAACATAATACTGAACAATACCTTCAAGCCCCATCATTGTGTGTAAGGGGGTAGAGAGGTCTACAAAAACACTTTAAAGTGATAATGATATCTAAATGCATGCTATTTAATACTGGGGGTGTTGTACCACTGAACAGGATTTTACAGCCACTAGTGATAATCAGACCACAGTTTCTGTATAACTGTCCCACATAAAATGCTCCTTTTCTCCCTGTGGTGCTTCTAACTCTGGTCTCATGTACTCAGCTATCCCTTTTCAGAGGTGTATTTTTGATGTTAGACGAACAAATCTTGAGAAGAGTGGAAAAAGCTTACATTTGTAAGAGTTGAACTGTCTTTCTCAGCGTGGTCCCCTAATACACTAAAGGTGATACTGCACCGCATGAGGTGCCTGATTATGCCTTCACTACCCATCTGACTAACTAAACCTGCACTGGGAAAGTTGCTTATGTTGCTTCAAAGGCATCAAAGTCAAAGACATTTCACCAGCTTAAACTGACATTGGCTGAAAATTGACTTGCTGACCTGTTTGTCCTTGTTTAAGACTAACTATACCAGGTGCCAGCTCAGATGTGGCTTAATTTTGTAGTGCAGAATATTAAATGAACTAAGAACTTTATTGTGTGCTCTTCCACTTGCCTTCAACTCTCAGGATGCTCTGAACAAAGAATTTAGCAGTGATTAAACTCTGCTGCACCCTGTATTGTAGCACAGCATGACCTTGCCTATGCAGATAGAGCCAAATGGTGTAATTACTGTGTTTCAAAAAAAGCCCTGCTTGACTGTGCTCTCTGCAGGGGTCTGAAAACATTTGCAGTAGGTTCTAGCTGAGGTCTGGCTTGCCTGCTTTGGCCTTTTCAACAGCATGCTGGGAAGCATGTTTGAACCCTTTCTCTGCATTTGCAGGCAGAAGAATGTGTCATATTTGGTAAACAGCGAGGGTAAGGCTCCCATCAGTGTTGTAGTGGGAGCATGAAAAGCGAGACAAAACCCAGTCTGAGGATTTTGGGGCAGCGTGGCGCCGGCACCATTCCAGCTCAGAAACACTCATGGTGACTGGAGGGTCTCAGAGAAGAACCCAGCCATGGGCTTTGCAGCTGAATTCAAGTGCTGAGGCACAGCAAAACCCTCCCTCCTGCCTGATGCAAGTAGACGAGCAGAGAAACACTTGTTGCTCTTCTACCCCTTCCCACTTTTCCAATGAGGCAGCGCATCTCTGAAGAGCTCATTCTCAAGGGACATTTCAGTTCTGCCTCTGGCTTGTCACACAGAGACCATGGAAAGCTGAGGTGGAAGGGACTGTTGTGAGCTGAAGGGGCTGACCTTGCCGGTAAAACTCTTCGCAGACCCGTTCACTCCACTGCTTGCTCAGATCCCAGACCCGGCAGGGATTGCAAATGTCAGCACACTTGAGTGCAATCTGAAAGCAAGAAGAAAAGCAGTACTGAGGAAGGAAGTTACTGTTTAGCAGTGCTTCAGCAGTAAATCTGCAGCCATGAAACTCCCAGGCCCCAGCAGCGATGCCAGGAAGGGTTAAGATTACCTTTCAGAGGCTCAGCCTCACCCAAATGTGCCCTTTGAGGAAAGAGCATTTATTTAAGCTGCAAACAAAACTTTCATTCAGCCCTCCACTTTACCGTAGTGAGAACAAGAGCAGGGCCAAATTCCAAGGCTGCAAAGTGTTTTGGATATTCCTTGGAAGGAATAAGCCAACAAAAGCCTCAGGCTGGCTCCTGCTGACTGCTTGGCTCAGCATCCGTGGCTGATGACAAGGAAGGAAAGAGCCAAGCTGGTGTATTTGGGCATGATTCCTCTGTGGTCTCAGTGAGTGACCTTGCATCTCACTTCAATTACACTTCATCTTAATGTCTGCATATTTTTGTTTACAAAGCTAAGCACAGGGCTCTCCACACTGCCCCTGGCCTGGTTTCACTTAGTTAACTACTACTTTTTAGTGCTTTGCAGGAGAATGAGTACAGGGGAAAAGTTTTTTAAAACTGAGTAACTACTTCAGAAAAGTAAACCATGTAATAGTCTGCCTGTCTTACTGCCTTGGAACAAAATATCATGTGCCTTGTTTCTTCACAGACTGAACACAGTCATTCAGTCTGACAGAAGTCAGAAGTCATGCTGGCACCCAGGAAGAAAACATAAGTATTTCCTCTTACGAGTTCAGACCTGTGAACCAGCAGAGGGAAATCTCCAAGTCATTCTTCTCTTTGGATTAAGCTGATTAGCCTTAATGTTACTGTCTACTGCAAGGACCTTTCAAACATTCTTTAGCTTACTCCAATCAATCAAGAGTTCTTGATCTTTTTCTTTTCTTCTTCCATAACTAATCCACCAGATAAGTGAATCTTACTATCTGTTCCCTTGTTCCTAAGTTCCTAGTGCATAAGAAACGTTTTTTTTGCCATAGCTGAGAGCTGTAATTCCTCTGCTTTTGGTATTTGCACAACTTTCTTGCCTTATCTGTCCAGAAATATGGTCAACCTGTCACCCTGCCCTGCACAGTCTGTGCAGGAATCTGACAGAAGACTGTGTTTGAGACAGAACAGGTGAGAAGCTACTGCATTCCCCATGCTGCTGGAGGGGGAAGAATTAACAGATCAGCACTTCTTTCCTTGCAGCTGTCACCTTTTCTGTGACTTTGATGGAAGGAAAATATGTAGGTGCTTGTTTTATAAATGAAAACGATTACTTCAAATTCTTTATGTATTTAGGAATGAAATTAATGTAATTTCTCCAAAGAAGCAAGTATATGTAGCTACCTTAATCACAATAATGCTTTAATAGATAGAGGTTTACTCTGAAGAGTCTGCTAATGACTACTGCTTAGCTGGAAGAACCAGTATGAACCTATTTGATTTCTGAATAAAGCATGGACTTTCTGTTAGCTGGTCAGACGCACTAGAGAAGCATCTGCTGCCATGGCAACAGCTGTCTCTGCAGAGGCAGTTTCTGAGCATCCATCACGGGAACAGGACTTGGAGACCCAATGTCAGGCTGTCCTAGAAAGAACACCAATGAGGAGGCTCTTCTGCACAGTGCTAGAAAATAACACCAGTGGAGTGACATTTGCCATAAGAGAGAGACACTACAACTGAAGCATTACCTGGGAAGAGAAGCAGTGTTCTGGAAATAATCTAGCTTATCTCCATTCCTTAGCATTTGACACACTCCTGTATCTGTTGCATTCACAGCTTTTTAACTCAAGGAAATTACATAAGGAAATACCGGAGGCACCTTATGCTTGCCTGATGTGCCAGAAGGTGGCAGAAGGGAAGTATTTATGGTAATAGGTAAGGAGAGGCTGATGTACAGTCATGCTATAATATATTACTCTTAACATATACTACAAAATACTGTGACCTGTGAAAAATTAGTAAAAACAATTTAAAAAAAAATGAAGTTACCTGAAGCATAAAATGTCTGTCCTGCGCATCCTCCAGCCTCAAATCCTGATTGTCAAGATGAGATTTCAGACGGATCAAAAACTCATTCTGCCTGTTGATGTCTGTTGCCAAGATCAGGGAGCCCAGCTGCTGCTCAATGTCCTGTCTGCAATGAAGGTAAATAAGCCTCTTTAATCATGGAACCATTCAACATTAAGAGCTCAAAACAACCTGCTCTGGATCACTGGAGCTGGCATAAAGCTCCCTCTTTCTTTATGGGCCCAGTCTGATCTGCTTGGTCAGTCTCTGCTGGGTTTTGCAGGGTACAACTGTTCTACCTGCCCAAATGGGTTCAAGAAGAATAGATAATGTAGAAGAAAAATGCTTGTTGGCACAGGTTGTTCTGAAAGCTTCTGAAAAGTGCTAGGAAAGTACAAAAAAACCCACCCTGAAACAACAGCATGTTACATCAAGAAAAATGCTCACGTCTTACTTCAGCTGCTCAGAGCTGAGCGGTGAATACTGCAACTTTGAAGTTGCAGTCAGAGTTGTGAAGGTCTAGACTAAAGTTCTTTAAAGTTGCTGATCTGATGCAAAGAATTTCCGGAGGGATACAGAGCTTACTGCTTCCAGGTAACTTGTTTATATTCTTGGTAGGGTCACTTGTGATTTAAAATGTATTAGTGCAGTCTGTTAACTGTCTCAATCTCCCATCCTTGGTGGGACTAACACAAGCAAAAAGCTAGCAGCAACTTGGCCAAGGTGGTAATGCGGCTGCTCTTTTTCAGCTTTATCCATAAAGACTGAACTACATTCCCTCAGAGACATGTGAAATCCAGAGCAGTCTTGATGCTCCTTGACCAACTCCTTCAATTTCCTCTTTTTAATCACTAAATCTTTCCATTTTTGGTTGATGCTAGGTAAGATGAAAAATGCCAACAATCCATCTAAACAATCCCTCTGCTCTTGCTGGCACTTTCTGTGTTCCTGGTGCTGAGAGTGGCCATTCCACTCCTGTGCTGCAGAAGTGGGTAGGTGTTAACAAATACTTCTGCTGTATAACTTTATCTCATGGTTTCTCAGTGGCACCAAGAAGGTGCAGCAAGCTCAGCCTATTCGGAAGCCTGGGCCTCTTTGCCAGAGTGCTTTCAAGAAGGGAGAAGGAGGCCATGGCCTGGTTGCAGTGATTCTGGTGGACACTTACGTGACCTCCTTGGGCAGGTGGGCGAGCAGCCGTGACTCCCGGAGCATGCCGATGGTGGAGCGCCAGTGGTGGTTCTCCAGCACCGACACGTTCTGGGGAGGAACAACACCGACAAACGCAAGGATTAGGATGGTATCCACGGCACACATATGGATTTGCCAGATCACATGATACCCAGAGCTGGTTGGACAAGCTGTAACATGAGCCTAAAATGTGTGCTTTTCAGCCACAGCTGGATTAGAGTAATTGGTCTAGATTTCTACAGCTAAGGACCTTGTGCTTCTGGGTTTCTTAGCTAAGGTCAGCCCCAGAGGCCTGTTGTTCTGCAGTTTTTGAATCCTGCTGTGAACAGAGGAGCTAATCTCATCTGAGTGGGAGGCAGTTTGCATTCTAGCAGATTTATTAACAAATAAATTAAAGCGGGAGTGCAAAAGCTTATTTTTACCTCCTACTGATTCCAGGCTGACTTTTCAGCCTCTACAGTTTGAATGCAGAGCGGACAAGAAAAAGAAAACTAAACTGCCAAATTTCCCTTTGAGTCAGGGAACTGCAAACTGCCTGCAGCTGTTCAGTGAAAGCAAGAGGAATAGCAGTACTGCTGAGCATTTGCAGGCTTCAGCAACTTAGTCTGCAACAAATTTTGACTCCTCTTTGTTTCCTTGCTTTCAACTAAGTGGAACCAAAGTTAGGTGGGGATAAAAATGCGAGGGAGCTGAAACTCAGCTTTCTAGGTTGTCAGTAAATTACAACAAATTTGGAATCTTTTGTCTGATGACTTGAAATTACTATCCTAACACACAATGCATTTTCCCATCATCACTTGTTTAGTTCACAGAGTACTTTCTACCACAAAATGCCTCAGACATGTCACTTGCTCAGAAACCTCTATCATCTGTTCCCTGTTTTGGGCAGTTCACAGCTTTTGCAGTAGATGAGGACTAGATAAGAAAAACAAAACAAAGCACAACCAAACCTTTTGAGCAGGCAGGAGAACAAGGACTCCACCCTGTCACTGCCAGCTGGGGAACTGGAGTGAGAATCCCTCTCTCCAGCCACTGTTGACTTCTAGCTCCCTCACACACAGTCCCACAGCTCTGAGGTATTGCTGCCATAGTACTGCCTTTCCTGAGGGACATGACGTGCAGCTTCCACTTTTCCAGGAGGGACTGAGCAGTATTTTCTGCCTAAGTCTTCCTCATCTTCCTTTGTAGTCCTGTCATATCTGAAGACTGTTCAATAACTAAACATTGCATAAGCAAGATCCAATTTGCATTTTGATCATCTTGCCTAGTGCAAAGGTGAGAGTACAAATTGGATTGACTTCCTATCCCACTATTTTCCACAGTGCTTTCTGTTGCTTCTGAATTCACAGAAACAATGTTGCTTTGGTATTTCTCTGACTTTGTCTGTTTGTTTCCCTTAAAAAAATCACAGATTCTGGGGGGAAAAAAAAAACAAAGTAAAACCAAATCCAAAACTTTCAAACCATGTAAAAACCAATTCCTTTTCTTAGGAAGAGCTGATGGACTCAGATCACAACATCAGTTATTCAACAGAGAAATTACTTTTGACAGCAGTTCTGTTCATTTGCCAACTTAAATATCGCTTTTCTCCTTTTGCCTAAATACATCAGGATGGACTTTTGCAACCCTACACTCTGACCAAGAAAAATAACAGAATGTAATAGGACATAATAATGAATTTATTTTTTTTTCACCTACCTAGCTGCAGAGCTGAATACTGGTCCCAAGAGTCACACCAAGGCCACAGGCTGCCATCTTCCTACTAACTTGGACAAACTCTATCTGATGTCACCTTTGGCTTTTGGGAAGGTTTACACTTGTTTAAGACAGTGCCTGTGTGCACAGTTTCCTGTGACCCTGGTCTGACTGGATCCTTGAAACATTGTGACCAGGGATATCCCCCTTGGAGCACCCTGTGTCCCCACAGCCCTTCCAGCATGGCAGCCTTACTTGCTGTGAGGAGCTGCTGCAGCAGCACCTGCCTCAAAGAGGGAATTACACTCCATGGATGCAGCTGCTCCTTGGCTATCCTGAAGGCCAGCCAGAATAGGGCTCAAGAGTGATGTAGGCATCTGAGACCTTTCCAGCATCCAATTAGTAGTTACTCATAGGAAAAAGCACACTCAGGGAGTCATCTCAGAGTATTTCCACTTCTCTAAGTTTCTGCTCTTTGCCTGCTGCTATAAGGGGAACCCCAGATTGTCTCTGCTGCACTGTTTAGTTTCCCACACTGAAACTACAGGGAGGAGGGAAAAGGAAAGGTCACGCTAACAAACTACAACAAGCATGAAGTCATATGATTCTCCTCTTAAATGTAAGGAGCCAGAATCCCTGAAGTGGCTGCCAGCAATTAGTAGAGTCAGCTCATCCCCCTAGGAACACACTAGTGCTTTATTAAGACTAATTGCCATGAGCTATCTGATCACCCAGGCTGGTGGGAGACAGCCCATGCGGGGAAAGTCTCTGTGCTGGCCTGCAGACCGGGGCTCCCAGCTCTGCTTCACGTGGTGTTCTGGTTTTTTAAAAAACTGAGTAATGCAGCTTTGCTTTAAAGGCTGCACTATAGGAAGCTTCTGTCACATTTACAGCCCCACCCACAGCAGTAGATTGCTATAACAGACTTCAGGATTATGACAGTTTATTTTACTTAAGCTACCACAATATTTCCAATCTGTTACTTGGTCTGAGCCATTCGAACCACTGCATTCATATACACTGGAAAAAGAACAGTACTTGAAGAGAGGGAGACTTGCTACTAACTAGGTGCAGAGCAAATTTCAATTTTAATTTAAAGTCAAAGGGGATTGACTTTTTTCAATCTCTTCAATCTATTCTTACTCATTGAGCAGTTGGTTTAACTGCATAATGTTAAATAGCCAAAAATGACACTTATTCTTGGAAGTGTTGCTTTTAAGGAAGATTGCATAAGAGTAATGTTTTCACTGATGCCCAAAATGTACTTTCCTATCTCCAGCCTACCTACATTAAAGTTGTAAAGTGTCCTTTCACGGTTTTCTGAAATGTTTTGTACTACAGACATTGTACGTGATCTATCCACACTTCTAAACTTTTATCCTTCATTTAAAAGCCAGACAATGCAAGTTAGAAACAAAGTCTGCATCACATTACAAGGAATGTTGTTGTGCTCCTCACAGGAAAACTAAGGGACCTCCAGACCACTAGAGTGACCTTCTATGCTCTCAACTGTCCTTGTAATGCTGGAGACTTCAATGAACTGCTTTTATCTTTGCAGAAAATTATGGCATGTGCAATCACGTGCAGCAGACCTTAGAAAACTACCCTACAGATTACAGTGCAAACTTTTTTGCATCATAAAATACAGATTTAGTTTGAAAATAAGTACTGAAAGCTCTGAAGTCCTTGGTGATGTCCTCCTGAAATATGAGTCTTCTCACATATGCACTTCAGAAGCTGTCAAACACTTTACATCTTTGTCAAGAACTGACCTACCTCATTTTGCAAAACCTTTTCTTCCAAATGTAAATGTAAAGTTTGAATTTAAATGTCAAGAGACATTTAAAAGCATAGAAATGCCATACATGGATAAGTCCACTGTCTCAATGACAGACGACTGCCAGCTCTGTTAAAACTTACTTTCACTTGATCCTTTTGCTGATTAATCCCAGCAGTTCTGTGGCTCTGCTACTTAAAAACCAAAAACCTAAGAACTTTGTTTCAGTTTCAAGCACATGTTAAAGTACATGTTTTAAAGACTATTCACTAAATCTAAGTTTTTGACTAAAAATGTTTTCACCAAAACATTTTTCCAGGAGTTATTTTTATTGGCATCCATATACTGTATACTACTAAAACCTTTGGAAACAATGTGGGATCATTTTCAGTTAAAATAACTCAAACTAGCCAGTGAATGTCCTCAAGTAGGGTACTTCAGATCTCATTTGCTGTTGAAAGATTGCATTTTCTGCTTTGTCACTGCCTTTTCTAACCAATATTTGTAAGTATATTCAAACCCAAATACCTGAGCAGAAACCACTTCTCCAAGATACCAGTATTTTAGCGGTATGTCTTTCAGATTAGCCTGATTTTTCAACCTAATTATAAAGTACTGTTTGCCACCATTAATTTGAGAAGGAATTGTTTGTACCTTTTCAAAAGACAAGGGTTTTTGTGGAATGGCTCTACTCACTCATCTTCAAAGCAGCCTTACCATTCCCAAAGTACAGCAGCTTAGGCCCCTGGCTCTTTTCCCTCTTCACTCAGCTGACCTGACGCTTGGAAAAGACTGGACCAGAAACATATGGGTATGACATAATAAGCTGCATCATCTTATGATGAGGCCAATCACAAAGTTTTCAGTGTTTGAGCATAACTGTGCCTTGGCTGGGGCTCCCACAATCCAGCCCATTCCCATGTCTGAGGGCAGGACGGTTGCACCACTACACAACCAACTTCTTATGGGAAAACCCATAAAACATTGCTACTGTAGGGTAGAAAAAGAGAGACTCTCTTATCAAGCAGTAAGCACATTGCAGCAATTTCTCAATTGGCTATGTATGCAGCTATTAGTGAGTCTTCTTCAGGTAGGTTAATTTTTAACACGGGACATTCTGTCTCTGACAACCTCCACAAAGGCTGAAATTGACTCTTCTGAAGTGGCTGGAAAGCAGCCCAGTGAGAGTGCTGGCTGACAGCTGACTGAACATGATTCAGTGTGTGCCCAGGTGGCCAAGAAGAACAACGGCATCCTGGCTTGCATCAGGAATAGTGTGGCCAGGGCAGTGACTGTCCCCCTGTACTTGGCACTGATGAGGCCCCACCTCGAATGCTGAGTCCAGTTCTCGGCCCCTCACTTTAAAAAGGACACTGAGGTGCTAGAGCATGTCCAGAGAAGGGCAACAAGACTCATGAAAGGACCAGAGAATGTGTCTTACAAGGAGTGGCTGAAGGAGCTGAGGGTGTTTAGCCTGGAGAAAAGGCAGCTCAGGGGGGACCTGATTGCTCCCTACACCTACCTGAAAAGAGGCTGCAGGGAGGTGGGGCCAGTCTCTCCTGCTGTGCCTGCAGTGACAGGACCAGAGGGAATGGCCTTAAGCTCAGACAGAGGAGATTCAGATTCGATAGCAGAAAAAAATGGTCACTGTTAGGGTGGTCAGGCACTGAAATAGGTTGCCCAGGGAGGTGGTGGAGTCACCATTCCTGGAGGTGTTTAAGAGGTGTCTGGATCTGGTGCTAGGTGAACAGTTGGGTTGGACAGGATGATCTTAAAGGTCTCTTCCAACCTTCATGATTCTATGATTCTATGAGTCTGTGATTCTAAAGGATAGAAATCACGACTAACTCCATTTATTACCTCTGAATTACGGTTAGTGCAACCAAAATTAAGATTTGTTCTGGCAGCAAATTGCTCTTGCACACTGTATATATAAGTACAATGCAAAGAATAGAGAGATGTGCACATATAATAACAATGTATACATGTGTGTGGAGATTATACTCATAGGACAGTTTTAGATAAAATACAAAGCTACAATGATTGCCATGGGCCAAAATCTCAAATATATTCAAAAAGGACCACAAAAATCAGGCAGCATGGGCTCATTGCTAGTTGTTGAACAAGTGAGTCTGTGTTTTTGTTTCAGGAAGTTTTCTACTGCTGCTTGCCAGAGCAGAAAGGATGGATACTAGGTGAAGGACAACTCTGTACTGATCCCAGACTTGTATTTCTCTCTGAGATCTTTTACTGGCTGTTCTTAGAAACAGGATACTGGTCTAGACAGCCTGTGGTGTGACCTAGTGGCTTTCTTGAAGTTCTTTCTTTGTATCTCAAGGAATGTTACTGTAAATGTCTATGACTTTTCCTTTGGTTTATCTGTCTGTCTTTATTTTTTTTTTAAATGCGGTGTTCATTAAGTGGTTAATTTTACTACAGCCTTATGAATCAAAGGTTTCCTTTAATGCAATACCAATTTAGACCATGCCTGCAGCTTACCTGAAGATGAGATCTTCTTGTCATAATTTTAAATGTCCTACGCACAGTTCCTCACCCCAGATATCTACAGCAAAAACAACCCAGACAACTGATCTGGCTTAAATGTCCTCGAAAAAAAAAATCTGGCATTTCCACCTCTTTTCCTGTATCAGCTTTGCTTTAAGAAGTGACACCCAGTGAGGTGCTTGACTGAAATTGTCCAGACTCCAAAGTGCAGGATCACTTGACCCACATCCTCCCACTGCCAGATTTTGGCATTAAAAGTTCAATGCAAATTGCTTAAACTCTCCTTGACTGTATTTTTTACGTTAGCAACTTGATGAGCAGTTTTACCTGGTACAAGCTGGCAAGGTGGTGTTTAGTTTTAATCAGAAAGGGTTGGTTGACCCCTGGGTGATCCACGTCATGAGCTGCAGCAGCGAGCAGTCCGAGCATGATGTCCGATGGGGTGAGGAAGTTGGCAAGCTGAATCATCACACACATTAATCACAACAAGAACAGGAACAGTAAATATTTTCTGGTAAATAAACAAACCAGCTGACATCATGGCATAAATTGGGTGTGTTGGCATTTGTACACAAATGTCAAGTATAAATTTTGTGAACAATGTTTTTAAGGTACATGTTGAACATACATCTATAAAGATATTACACTACATAATCATCTTTTATTAGAGTTTGTATTTCTTATCTCTTTATTACCCATGGCAATATAAGGATTGTTGTAATAGAAGGGCATTGGCATAGTCTCATTTGTTTCAAAAAGCAAACAGGTAGGCTGACAGGTTGGCATATGTTAGCATCCATTGTAAGAGCTCGGCCCCTCCAAGTATTTAGTAATGCCAACAAAAGATCAGGCTTCAATTCTCTAGCATAGCACTGTGTTACAAAATGCAGAGTTTATCAACTTCTGAAATTTCAGCTTTGGCTGTTAAATATCTATCCCCGTTCCAGTATATGTATTTTATTAGAGAACATAATTTACCTTTCTAACTTTAAACATTCAAGTTGGAAAACCTGTCCAGATTTTTTTCTGTTACAGGACTCATTTAGAAGCAAAAAAGGGTAGTCTTAGCATTTTCTGTTTGTGAGAGTGAGGCAGTTATTACCAGCCCAATGAGTCTGTAAAGAGTACAGGTATATGAGAAGAAAGAAGCATTCTGAGGTCAGAACTGATGAGCAGTATGGTCCAGGTTCTGGATGTTGTCTGTCCTCTGCATTTCCTGGCAAGAAAGGACTTGCAGATCTTGCAGGAGATGAAAATACAAGAAAGGTGGGGCCTGCTCCTGCCCTCACCATTGGTATATTCTGGTGTAACAAACTGCTAGTTCTAGCAGAACATCCTTTCATTTGAGCCAAGCCAGAAAAGGTTAGTTATGTTCTTATACTGTGGCTCAGTATGGCAATATCACAGTGCCTTCCAGTAACACACAAGGCAACACTACTCTGATGCTGTGAGAACTTGCAGCAGCAGTCAAATACTCATGCAGAGGATACCCTTGCAAGAGACCCATCTGAAGGGACTGTTTTCCCCTTTCCTGGTGATATTGTGCCAATTTGGTATGCTGAAATAGTGATGTGGGGAGCTGATGATCTGAGGTGGCTGAGGCACAGACATGCATTGCCTCCTTCGGAGTTTGACGGGAGAAGAGCTGCAGGCACCACTGGGTGCCTGGGTCACAGCACTGAGCTGGCTGGAGCTTACATGGCAGCACTCAGACAGGATGCCTGCGTGATGAGAAGTGACTCTCACAGCTTGACTGAAACATCTGTAATCTGTAGCCAAGGCTGCTCCTGACTTGTTGCTGACTTCCAGCACGCCATCACTTTCTGCTGTCTAGAACTATGTCCTGGGGCTTTTATTTCAACCCTGGGAAAAAAAATCTGAGAACTATCTGAAAGCAACATGAGTGTGAAAGGTTGTCATTACCTTGGGCTCCCTCAGATAGCAGTGCATAGCTTGTGTGACATCAGCGGCATGGACAGCATTGTGGTATGGGTTCTGGCTATGGTAATCGTCTTGAACCATAACTGCAAATCAAAGCAGAAAACAAAGATCCTTTTGTCTCTGAATGCCATGGCCACAAGTGGGAACTGGACTTAAAATACAATCTGAGGTTTTGCAGTCAGCTGCCTGAGGAGTTTCTTCAAATAGCTGTAGCTTATTTAAATTGCTGCTTTTATCGGGGTACCTTTAGAGAAAAAATGCATGAAAGGATTTGTGAGGCCCAAGGGGATATACTGGGTGTAGTGCATAAATCACCTCTTTCTTGCCTTAGTGAAGGCTCTCATTCAGGAATAAAATAAACAAGGAAGAGAGGCAAATTTATCCACAACGGAGTGTAATTATTTAGCCTGCTGTTGTAGGGTAGTAGTGTGCCATTAAGGCAGTACCACCTATTTTACAGCAGCAGGGAGTGAGACCCTGATATCCTGCCATGATTTGTTATTTGAGTGATGAACTACAGGCAAAGGCATTCCTATATTCCCAGGAGAAGAATAAAAAAAAACCAGCTTTGGGGTATTCACAGCAAAATCTCCAGTGACAATTTTAGTCACATCTGTGTGTTCATTTTAAAATGCCAGTCCCTCTTGCTTCAGTTTGCAGCTCTGGAACCGGTCCAGTTGGACCAGGAGCACCAACCTCTTAACTCTCAGTGCTCTCTCTCAGAGACAAAAATCATTGAGATGTGTGCTTCACACCCCTCTGTTCCTTGCAGCAGTGTGTGCACCATTACGTGGTCGTGGGACAGCACCACGTGAGCACTGGGAGCTGCATGTGATCGTGCCTAGGGCGCTCTCCTAAACACGATCCAATTAATCCAATGGAAAGCCAACGGGCAGATTTCCCATGGCGCTCACTGCCAGCATGAGGAGTGCCAGAGAAAGTCCGAGCCTTCTGTCTGTTTCCAGCCACACAAGCATCTGGAGGTACAGTGGGTAATCCCTTAAACTGGGAGTTTAGACCACTAGCTCTAATTGCCCGACTGTCCGCTTCACGTCTGCCCACAGGAGTTAGAAACAGCAGGGAGATTTTGTCTGTCTCCGCACCAGAGGAACACTTTCCAGAAGCAACAATTATGCAGTCTTAAAGAAGAGACCCTGCTTTGGAAACTGCCTGACAGCCTGAAAAACTGGCATTTAGCTGCTTTCAAAAAGTGATGCAAAAAGTAATTGATTTTGGCCAATTTCTTCTTTTGGTTCACTGACAGCATGGGGCTAATATTTCTGTTGGCAGTAACAGCAGCAGGGGCTTTCATCAACACTGTTCAGTGTAGACAGGACAGCTTGATATAATTTGTTAAATTTTGCACATAAGCTTTTAACTGCCCTGGTCTTTTAGTCACTAAAATAATTACGCTGCACCACAATTGTACTGTGCACGCGTAGGTTCTGCAGTGTCTGTCTGTCTGTGTGGGCCTGAGCCAGCCACATCTCTGCATGGCACATTTTATTTTAAATCACCAGTGTGACTGTGGTGCTGGGATGCTTCAGCCCAATGCACAGCCTTTTGAAATCCCTCCACTGACTAGGTAGTGGACCAAGTACTTGAGTGCCTGAAAACTGTATGCTGATCCATATCATAGGTATCTTTTACTGAAATATTTCCAACTACGTCATTTTTACACAGACAGACCAAGCCAGTGCCTTCTCGGATGTTCTACTTAAGCTATAAACTTCATTCAAAGATGGTTGTTGAGGTGTGCACTTACCAAAAAACCTGTGTAATGTAACCATGTCTAACTGGAAATGGTGAATAAGTCCATGCACATTGAAGAGGTGACAAAGCAGTGTTACAAGACTGTTTCCTAAAAGGAGAAAGGAACAACTCTTAGAATCCCTTTACAGGTAGTTATAAACCAAGCAAGGCTAAAAATCTGGGCAATTTCCTATTAGTCAGCTCCTATCACCTCATCTCCAATGAAGTGAGCTTAGATGACTCTCAGGTACTCAGAAGTCACTTATACAAATTACTCCTATATGTAATCAAGACTTGATGGAAAGGTTGTACCAATGGAGTGCCATTCTTGTGTCTAGATGCCCTAAAGACACGTTTGCTGTTTCAACATGACAGGCAAACTGTGGTTTTAACTGGAAGGAGGCAAACTGACGTGGTTTTAACAAAATCTTCAACAGGCTTGTCTGAGAGCGACATCATTTTCATAATTCAGGTCTATCTTCAGAAACAACAGAAACAAGAGTGGCTTTTTTGCCACTTGGGTTTGCCATACTGTGCTAATTAATTACTAAAAATCAGGAGTTTGGAATGAATTTTTTTATTTTGCATATGGCTGTATAAACATGTAATTAACCTTGGTAACCTAGCTCAACTACAACTGCATCTCATAACAATGCCACAGACAGGAAAAATGAGTTGCAGCATTTGCAGTCTCAAGTTCCACTGTAATGCTGCACTGGCCTTACTGTAAATCCAATACTGGGAACACTGGCAAAATTGAGCCTTACTAGTATTACATGATCAGCTATACATAAACACAGTATTTCAAAAGGTTTGCACTGCTTAATTCAGCGTCACTGTTTCCATAAAAGTTAGAAAAAACCCCAAACCAACCAACCCATACTACGCATAAACAAAGCTTGAAGGGAGTCTTTTCTTATTTAATGTAACTCAGGAAGGAAAATAAGTATCTGTATCAAGAACATATGGAAACTAACTTGATCTTGACTACTGAGCAGGGGCACAGAAAGATAATTTAGAAGAACTATGCTTTTGCTTCCCAGGCAATTTGCAATCCTTTTCACTCTTCACTGCCAGTCACTCGGCTGAACGAGCCTCTAAACCAAATCTTCTGCCCCAACCAAACCTAATTAGACTGGAGTGAGGAATGAGGGATCTCAATTCTCTGAGCAGTACAGAAAGGGGAAAGGTGTGATCATTACTCTCTCTAGCAGTTACCTGATCAAGGGGTAATGTCTGGACATTTGTGGGGAAGGGGGATGGTTTACATGTGTTTAGAGAAAACATTTCACAGATTTTTACTCTCTAAATAAATTTCCTAATTTTTGCTGCTGAACAGAAGCAAGGGTATCTTCACTCAAATGTCTTTAGTATTGATTGAAATTGACAGATTATGGAGATCTGGATTTATTATATCTAACAGGTATATTTAAAGTGGCTTGGGAGTTTCACAGGCAAATGAAACAGAAACATTTCTTGAAAAGGTGACAACAACAAATGTAGAGGATTAGATTAGTACAAAAGCACACCTGAAACATTGTCCTATAGTTCAGGAAAAGCTTGAAAAAGCTCCAGGATGTATTTGAATAGAGGTTAAATATGGCCAATTTCTCTTCAGTAATTTGAACTGGAAACATTTAACAAACAATTAATTATGGATTTTTTGACTAGTCATATATGAGACAGAGTAAAATAAAGACTTTAAAAAATTACTTACCATTTGTCAAGCGATCAAACAAGAAAATGTCAAAATCCCACATTCCCACTTTGGATAACATATGCTGGAAAAAGCAAATGTGAAAAGGCCAATGACTGGTATGTCACACTGTAAAGCAGATTTTTATTATTATTCCACATTAATCAGTCACAGGATTGGTTATTACAGCTTTAAAGTTTTTTTTCGAGAAACCTATAGAAGTCATATTTGAAATATCAGAAATCAGGCTCATGTGGCTGTACTGCAAAAAATATCAGTTGCACTTTTAACTGAGAAGGTTTTGAACATAACAGTAAAAATGCCTCTAAATGGAACTCAAAACAATGAATAATATAAACCAAAATATTATGAAAATATTCCCTTTTACTATACAAATGCTTCATTGTTTCTTCATGTCCCCAGACTTTCAGTGCAAATTCTCTTAGGTTTTAAAACACTTAATAGTGTTTTAAAATCTTAGCTCTCATTGCGAATATGAGTTACAATGTGCTAAACAAAGAAGTACACAGGAATAGCTTTTATAAATTTAGATACAGTGCTACTGTTAAGCCCACTCAGACATGCAGAGGAATCCATCATTACCTACAACTGCAGTGTTTTTACAGCTACATCAGTTGAGTCAGGAGACTGATTGTGGACTACCTCTATGACCCACAGTGATGTGTGTGTGAATGAAATACACATTCGCTCCCATCTCTAATCTACATTCAAGCAGTTCTGGACTCTTAATTTCTAGCATCTGTCTCATAATCTCCTCCAGCAGAGAATAAAAATCGCCTAGGATATAATTCCAACACCATCAATTGTGAAAGTTTTGCTAGAAAATACCATTCAAAGTAAGTGTAAGAGCTGCAAAATAAGACAATTATATTTTTATCAGTGTGAAGTTTGCAGTCAATGCTCCACACTTCCTAGCCTTTGCCACTATGGAGAGCTATTGTGGGTTTCCCAATAGTTATTCCATAGCAGATGAGAGACACCCATCTTTTTTCAAGTGCATGAACTAAATGCTGTGTCTGGGCTGCACTTAAATCAGTAACTTAACCTGAAATCCTTCATTCTTTAATAAATCCATATTATAATTTCAGTTGTTGGAATCTGAAAATGCTGAGTAGATTTAGCAACATCTTCTGTTGCTTTGAGACCTAAGCCTTTAAGGCTGTAACCACAAATGAGGAATGGACAATCTGTTTGTTGAGAGACAGGCACTAAGGTGGGTCATTTAAGAAAGATCAGCCAGGAATTTGGTTACCTGAAGACTAAAACAAAACTGACACTCTCTGTAGTATTATTAAAAGACATGGAGAGCTGGAGGCCTGTCTTACCCTTGCTTGCCCAAGGTAGTCCTCATCCAGTAGGTAGAGAGAGGCTTGTGGTACAATTCCACGCAGTAACCGGGATGCATGGAAGTATCTCTGGAAACTTAACAGTCTTTTCACTTTCTTCTTGGTGCCGACTTCCCCTGAGAGTGCACTATCTGTGAAAAGCAGCCAGTACAGAAAGCATGAAACCCAAGGTGATGGACGACATTGTCAGTTTAATCAAACACTTTAAAATAGTAATACAAAAATCATGGAGTTCACACTTCTTGCCAAGCCACATGAAGGAGCTGTATTCAAATCACTTCAGCATAATATATTTGTTTATTTTAGAGAGGAAATATGTTCCAGGGAAGAGAATACTATTGTAGGTTTTGGAAGAGCTGAGTTCAGTACACTGCCTGCCACAGCCTTCAATGTGACCCAGCTCAGTCACTGGCAGGAAGGGGGTGATACATCTCCTAACTGCAGGTATTAGGGAGAGCCTAAATGACTAGGCAGAGCTAGGTACAGGAAAGCTGCTCTTACCCTCTCTGCCTCTGTTCCCTAACTATACACCTGAAAATAACATTAATTACTTTGATACCTCACAGGAGGTGTCATTGGAATATATTAAAAATTGCACTGCACTACGAGGTGATCTTGGGTATAAAATAAAAAAATCATACCAAAAGAGAACTCAAAATACAGTTTGAGAACACAAATGTGTGATCCACATTTGGAAAAGGAAATAAAAGAGAGAAAGAAATAAGAATAGGTTCATAATCCTATTGCATTGTCTGCTGTCATTTCTACATATTAAAGCAAATTATAAATGAAGAAAATATTTCAGCTGTGCAATGAGGAAAGCAGGAATATTGAGATAATACAGGCATTTCTGGTTACACAACAAACCATGTTTTCACTAGGTACCAGGATAATTCTAACTCCCTAATGCTGTATTAGGAGATTTTCATATGGGGCTAAATGAGACACAAAAACCAAGGCAGTTTTTATACAGTGATTAAATTACTAATTAGAGTAATTAAATTACCTTATTGTTAGTAAGAAAAATATGGAGGCTTTCTAAAACTCATAATGGTATAGGGTAATTTCATCTGAACTTTTAATAGAACCTCACACTCAGCTGTGGTATTTTCATTTTGCAGTCTGGTATAAGTTTTGGAAAAAAGAGAGGACAGAAACTGGACAGCTGGCCAAAGGTAGCAAGATACAATACAGTTTTATTTGTAAGACAAACCTTGTAAGAAACTGAAGATTAAACAGTCCTTTGAGAGAAAAGTAATGATTTCTTGAGATAAGAAGCTCCATAGCAATGCACTGGTTTAAGTAAGAGCTCATGAAAAATATCTACACACTGCAGCTGACTCTCTGTTTTCTATTTTTCCATCTCTTTTTACGAAAAAACACTGAATGTTTGTTCTACTGTGACATTAAAATATCACTTTGTCTGCTGTTTCTATGGGTGGTATTATTCTGAGAGGACTTCCAGAGAAGTTGCTAAGGTTTTTTTGGATCATGGATGGTTCAGGATTTGATTTCTCTAACAGCAGCAAGCACTCTCTGTAGCAAGTTTCTTCCTTATTAAGTAATCCAACAGCTACTGAGCAGCACCAAGTCAGTAACAACATCCAAAAAAGCCATCCTTACATACTGAGGAGCAACAGAACTTCCAACACCAAGTAAGCCTCATGGTTCTCATGTGCAGCCCGAAGACCTCACTGAGCTTTAATAATATAAAAGCACAAAACAACTTCATTGCATCTTGACAAGCCATGTGGTTTCCAGAATGAAAACAGTAACAACACCACTACTGTACCAGCCTGAAGGTCAGGTTTTCATTTATGATGTGCCAGCACCTGCCTTGATTTTCTCACACATTTTAAAAGCTGGAACAATTTCATGGCCTGTTGAAGGAGTGACTAATGTAGGTGTGAACAGTTACCCAGTGGCAGCAACACATGGAGGAACAAGTAGACTTGTTTTCTTATTTCTTTTCATTTATATAGGGTGCTATGAAATGGCTGGCATTCAATTTAATTCCTGGATAACAAAACACTCTTAAAATTAATTCACTTTTTAAACTTCTGTTAGCTGTTTCTCAACTTTCCAACTTTCCTATTTCCATCTTAGCCACAAGCTGTCAGTACTTTCAGGTAACAAGTTTAAAATTTAAAGTACAAAAAATTCACTTTTTAACATTAAAAATTAGAAGTTGCTCCCACAAATTTTAATCTAAGTTAATATATTTTTTTTCAGTTAAAGACAGATGACTGAAATCACCACCTACACTCTCTTAAACTGTCTTTAAAACTCACACATAGAGTTGCTGTAGATGATCTGAAAATTAAGGTTTGGCCTGAGTCCCAACAAGCAGCTGTACATTGGATTATGAAGAAGTGTTTATTTTATCCTTCGGATTACCAGATCATTTCAGTAACATAAATAATACTTGCCAAAGCACGAACAGGTCAGATGGAAACAAGTAACTTCTTATTATGAAACGTATTTTCTGAATTGAACCACCAAACTTGCTGCCCATTGCTCTGTATGGTTGTCATGGGTCTCAATTCAAATTTAGTTATCAGCAGACAGCGCCCCTGAAACCTGACTTGATGTTTCAGGTGAGCACTGTACTCTAATATATTATACAAAAAAGATTACCCACAATAATCTGTATTTTCATTCATAAGGGAAGAAGTTCATAATACTGATACAGAATTGTAGCAAATGTATTTTCAAAACTGGGCTCTTGACAGAATAGCCCAAATCCAGCACTGCAGGCTATCCACGTGCAAACTCTGGATGTCAGCTTAAAAGAGTATCATGATCCTTTGGGTCATTTCAGTAATAACTGATTTGCTTTTGACTCACAGGACTCATTAGCTGATTGCTATCACCTATCTCAGATTACTCTGACATCCACAATAATGTATTTTATTTTGATGGTGTCTTGCACAAAATTGGACTGATGCTGCCCTTCTCTGAGCACAACACACCCCAAGTATAATCTCACTAGCGTTTTCTCTTTCCCCTTCCAAGATCAGTGTCAAACAAAAAAAAGGAAAACCACAACTATATGAAGTTGAGGGAAAAAGGTTTATTAGAACAGAAGAGCAAAAGGCAATGCAGCCAAAAGTGAACACTTAAATTCTGCTCTCAGCTCAGCAGTTGCATCTGAATCTCCCAGAAGCAAAAAGCCATTCCCAACATATGGGATCTACCAGCTGACATAAAATCAAGATGCAGTTTTAAGATGAAATTAAAGATTTATGTGAATGACTTACAGTAAAATGCTGAACATACTACTTTATTGACAACTGTAAATTTCAATTTAAATAATAAATATAAAATTTTGATGATGACACATGTTACAAGTCATACAGTGCCTTCAGATGAAACTGAATTGCAAAGTAAATGAATCAAAAATATTACTGCAGATATCCCTGAACTTCAGCTTTGGAACTATGGATACCAGAACATATGCTATAGCATCTGGTTAAAGGCAATGATCTGCAAAGGTCATATGGGAAGGATTTAGTAATTATGAGCAATTTTGAAATGAATGTGAAAGACAAACAAGAATGTCTTTTGTTTATACCCATAAAACTTCCCTCCAGAACTGTGTTTAACTTTAGTCATTGTGGCAACTTTTGAATGTTCTGCTTACCTAAAAAACTCCATCTCTTAAAAGATGCCCATCCTCATGCTACGGAGCGACTGCCTAGCAGAGGGTGGCAGAAACCCTCCTTTGTACACTGCACAAAGTTATTGTATGAATTACACAGACATCTTGTATGAATTACACACATGTTTACAGAAGTGTTTGTGCAAGCATTCCTCACAAAGCTCAACCGCTGCCTTCAAAAGCTCAGGTGGCCTGAGCTCGCAGCGTTTCTCCTGTATTTTAGCAGGCAACCAAAGTGGCTGCATTTTTCTCCAGGTAATTTGACAGCCACATCAGGCAGGCACGCACAGCCAGCAGACCATGGATGATGTCTGCATTACTGCTCGTGGCCCTCAAGAGGTTAATAAGCTGCAGAAATCAATGGCTGCCTTCTTTCTCCCAACACAGCTCCTCCAGTTACACAGATCTTCTCGCCTTAAATTGATCTATGCCTCGCTACACACCAACCTCTGTTATTTCAGGAAAAGAGTTTTCCTGCACTGGGAACTGCTAGTGGTTTTATTTCACATTTCTTTCACACTGCTGCAATAGCACGTGCCCACAGGCAGCATGAATATAAAAATGATGGAGGTTATGCTAACAATGGTTGAGTTAACATCCAGAAATGATCACATAAATCAAACTTGGACAAGGGTGTACTTAACTCTGCACTAGACATTCATTACATTGTTACTGTTCTTTCAAAATAAACAACCTTTGTTATGCATTCAAATAAAGCCTCTGAGTTTTTCTTCACGGTACTGCCTTTTGTTATTTTATTGCACTTCAGCGTACAATAAAAACAGGTCACCCAGCAGCACGAGTGGATAAAAAAAGGGCTTATTAATTTTCAAAATGAATGGATTCAGAAAAGAGAAATGGTTTTTTCCTCTTCTTTTCTAAAGGATGCAGAATAAATCAGGTCCTCAAGCAGCTGCCATGGAATCATATAATTTGTAATACCCTTTCCCCTCTTCCAATGATGCAAAGGCATTTCATACACAGCCACTGTATGCCCGAAGACCCAGGCAGGACTGGTGGGAAAGTGCTGGGATATCTGGGAGGTAAGGTGAGAGGGTGAGTCCTGCAATTTAGGCTCAGGACAGCCTGCAAACAGTAAGGATTCTGGGAAACAATTTGTCTCTGGTCCTACAGTTTTCCACACTGGTTCCTGGCTGGACAGCTAGTTAGAAAACTTCCCTTTGCGAGCCTTTGTGAGAGGTCTGTAATTGACTTAGGAGGAATAACTGGTGTTTTTCCTTTTTTTGCACATAAAACTATGCCATGCATTTACATCACCTTTACTGAAGTCTTGTTTGGCATATTCATTGCATGCTTGGCTGCTGAATTTTTCTTACACAGGAGAGTGCATAGCACTGATGATAGAAAAAAACTGCTGTGCCCTCTTAGTATCTTCTTATGTTACAGACTTATCAGTGTCCAAAAGACAACAGCAGCATTAGTGTGGGTAGTTGAACTAACACTGGTGAT